TCAAAACGTATCAAACTGCACACTTGAAATGGTTGCATTTGTAATTTTTATTTCAATAAATTTGAATTTTTAAAAAATCTGGACTTACAATTGTTGTTTGTTTGTTTTTTAAAGAGGGGTAGGAGTGCAAAGGTAGAATGAATTGTGACAGCTTATTAGGTTAAAGTGATTTTTTTTTTCTGGAAAGTAGCCACCCAAATTAAATACACGTCAATGCCAAAAGCCATACCTCTGGGTGATACAGTTCAGGGAACTGGTCCAAATGTGACTTATTAAAAACATATGTACAATACAAACTCCCTTTCAAGGCTTGGGACAGTTAAAGGCAAAGCACATTTTACCTTTAAAAAAAGTAAAAGATGAAAACTAAGAAGTCACTTTTTTACAAGCTGAATCAGCATACCATTTGTGGTTTGTGTTAAGGAATTTGCCTCTGTTGTGCAGAAAAGCAAATCCAGCATTAACCTGTGGAGAGAAAAGACTTGCTCGCTAGTTTTCATACTTTTACAAACCCAGAAAACTTACATTCCCATGTATGACAGAGGCTGGCCACACTCAGGATTCACACTAGGTGGCAGGACGCAAACGATGCGCACTCCTGTGGGGGGACCACCAGATTTGGGGTAGGGTTGTGAATCCCCTGCCCAGTCTGTACTCCACACATAAAAGTCTCTGAGCCCAACACCTTATTGTTAAAGAAATATGACGGGAACTATCCCATCGCAGCATAAAAAAAAGTGCTGTTGCCAAGAACTGTGTAGCACTGGAACTCAAATCTCAGCATCCCTAAGGGGCCCAGTGATTGCCTTTACAATGTCAAGAGCACCACAAGGTTTCCCACAGGGTACTGTGGGCAGGCACAGTATATCAGAACACATTCCCAGAACCGGAATTGGGAGATCACAAACCAGTCAGCTCAGTTCCTGGTACAAAACAATGTACAAGTTATCCTGGTAGGGGGCACAGCCAAGATATATTTAAAGACAATCATCTCGGTCTATATTACCCCCCAGAGGCAAAAGGGTGCTGGCTATTTTCTAGGTTGAAATCCCATCTCCTAGAAAGCATTAGTCAGAACTTAGGTCCTTTCCCTTTTAGCACCTGCAGAAGTTTCTGCACATCAGTGAGGGCACCCCAATCTCTCTAGAACTACCTGGCATGAAATGCAGAGAACACAGGGGCCAGACACTGGGAGGGCAGTCATAGCATTGCTTGCACCATCTTGAAGATCCCTACACTATAATTCTGGGCCATCTTTGTTCCACTTAGCTGTTTTTTTGCTATGTAAATCACTGTCTCCGTTTTGCTTGGGGTAACATGGGAGGGGATGACTTACTAATGCTATCTGCACATGGTAGTTCAACAGATGGTATTTTCCACTGTGACTAGTCATTTGTAAAGAATATTGATTTTCTTAATTTTATTCTGTAAAGTGGTTATGGCAGGAATCATCACTTTTATACTGTTCTGCAGGGTTCTGATAAAAACTAATATTCATGTATTTTTACATAAATCACATGCTTGTTTGACTCTAACAAGTAGGAGGAGGGCAAAGGCATTTAAGCAGCACTTCTAGAAATTATATTATCTATCTGGTTCATCTATTTCACCAGACACGCCCAGCCCAGCAGTCTGGGAAAACATTCTTTGCCTCCATTCACAGCTAGGGGAGCTGCTTCTCCTTAAGACATGACAGTTTTCCCAATGTTTCTGTCACTCCCTCTTCTTTCCAAGAGGAAGATTCTAAATACCATTACTGTTGGTTTGTTGTTGTTGTTGTTTTGTTTTTTTATTTCATATAGGAAGGGAGAGGGAAAGATAGAGAGAGAACATCAATGGTAAGAGAGAATCATTGATCGGCTGCCCCTGCACACTCTGTACTGGGGATTGAGCCCGCAACCTGGGCATGTGCCCTTGACTGGAATCGAACCCAGGACCCTTCAGTCCACAGGCTGACACTCTATCCACTGAGCCAAACCAACTAGGGCCATTATTGTTGTGAATCCTCACAGGAGGGTATTTTCTCCATTGATTTTAAAAGGAGTGGAAAGAAGGGAGGGAGGGATAGAGAGAGAGAGAAAGAGAAACAGCCTCCTGCTGGGGATCGAATCTGCAACCCAGGTACATGCCCTTGATCTGGAATCGAATCAGTGACCCTTCAGTGCATGGGCCAATGCTCTAACCACGGAGCAACACTGGCCAGGGCTCTAGATACCACTTTTGAAAATTACATTGTATTAACATTACTTCTTGAAGAAAATACAAATAAGAAGTCTTATCTCTTGAACATCCCTCCCTCTTCCCAAACTTCTGCATGCTATTTCTCAACGGGGACTACATTTGACTCTGAAACACACTGCTCCCCATCCTCACCTACCCTCCAAGTCTCTACACTATTAAGTCCAGAAAGTTGTCTTTCATGCCCTCACACGTCAGTTGTCCCAAAGTGCACCCACAGGATCCTGGACACTTTGTCTATCAAAGTACTTGGCCCTCCCTCTATCCTATCTAATAAAGAGCTAATATGCTAATTAGACCAAACAGCAGAATGACCATCCGGACGACCTTCCAGACGAAGCTGGGGCTGCGAGGGCCGGGGCAGCCGGGGCTGCGAGGGCCGAGCCCCTTGCACAAATTTCGTGCATCGGGCCTCTAGTTATAACATAATAGACACTTTTCACCATTGATTGAATGTCTGGTGTTTGGCACATGCCAGGCATCTGGCAAAAGATCAACAAATATTTCTCAGATAAACAAAAAGAAAACTCAACTTATTCTGACCACTCAGAGATAAAACACTGTTGATTATGGTATCTATCCTTTTATAGTACTTTTCCTGAACAAATATACTACTTACTTAAATTATTTTATCCCCTATCCCAAAAAGATTACATAAGGTGTCCCAAAAAAATGTACACACACTTTGAATAATTATAAAGACAGTGTTTATTAAAATACATTTCATTTTCATTTAACACCTATCTGCTGGTAAAGTGTGTATACATTTTTTTGGAGACCCTGTATATACTGCACATACTATTTTCTCACTTGCTTTTTCCACTTACTACATTATCATTAGATAATCTTGCTACCGTACCATTTTAATGACTACATGAAACAGATGTTCCCTAATTTAACTAATTCGTTACTGGTTACAATTTTTCACTGTGGTACCCAGTGAAAATACACTTGATAAACATCCCTGTGCCAAGTCTAAACAAATTCCTAGAAGCAGACTGGCTGAATCAAATGGTATATAAAATATTATACCAGTTATAGTATACACAGAAAGCTTAAAATATGGGTTATCATTTGTTAAGGATACTGGCAGGATCTGCACAACCAGAATAATGAGGCACCTAAAATCTTCATTTAAAAAATGGCAAGGGGAGCAGAGTGTTGTTCAGCCCAGAGAAGATGAACAATGAACCTGCTGGATGGGAAACAATATTTAATTACTCCTGAGGATAAAACTGGAATCAGCTGGAAGAGATGGAAAAAGGTACTACTCTGTTAAATTCAAGAGAATGGCATTTTCCCAAAGAGCTATCCACATGGACTTTGCAGTTATTTTTACGTATTCAGGCTGAGGCAGGCAGGAATCCTGATTGGGTGGAAGGGGTGGGGGGAGTATGGGGTCAGAGACACAGAAAGGTCAGTAAGTCAGTCAAACAAAAAGGTCAACTGTGTTCAACTACACTATTTCAAACTTCCAGAGGGCTCCCCACTGCACTCTTTAAATGAAACTGGAAAAAGCCATGATTAAACTTTCCTGTGTTAGCCTAAGTACTATAGAAGCACATGGCATACTTACTGCACACAAACTGCTCATGAGAACCAATTTCACCAATAAGCAAAGAGTCACAGTGGACCAACGGCACATTCAGTCACTGGCCAAAGCACAGTAACATTTTACTGTGTACGCCTCATGTCTTTTTAAAATGGAAAGTGTCTGACTTAATCTCACAGCTTATGGTCTTCACTGTAATATATGTAGTAAGAATAAATTACTTTAATGATAACATTTCTTGTAATTGCCTAATCTCCCTGTTTTTTAAAGAAGATATTAAACAGATCAACTGTCACTATTTCTTCCTCAGTTTTTACAAATTTTTCATATGTAAATGAAGTCATTTTCTAAAAGATAATTTGTTTTTTTTAAAGAACAGTAAAGGAAGGAGGGAAATACTCCACAAATGAGGCTCGGAGTTGGACTGCCAGTGAGTTTGGCCCCTATTTCTACATCTCTGACACACAGTTAACCCATGCTGCCATGGTAGGTATAAGGATTAAATGAGTTAATATATGTAAAATGTTTAGTGCCTGGCACACAGGAAGTGCTATATAACTGCTAGACTCTTATTTTCACCAGCAATGTGGATAAAAACCATAATACAGGACCATAAGCAAGCAAGAAGTGCTGGTGAAGAGGTTATTTTAAAAATACAAGCAGCCCTAGCTGGTTTGGCTCAATGGATAGAGTGTCAGCCTGCAGACTGAAGGGTTCCAGGTTCGATTCTGGCCAAGGGCACATGCCTGGGTTGCAGGCTCGATCCCAGTACGGGGCGTGCAGGAGGCAGCCCATCAATGATTCTCTCTCATCATTGATGTTTCTATCTCTGTATCCCTCTCCCTTCCTCTCTAAAATCAATAAAAATATATCTATAAAAAAAATACAAGCAGAATCAACCTCAAATAGTCTAGCTTTTAAAAGTTCATTTATTGGTTGGCTCGGGGCTCTTTGCAGGCTCGATCCCAGTACGGGGCGTGCAGGAGGCAGCCCATCAATGATTCTCTCTCATCATTGATGTTTCTATCTCTGTATCCCTCTCCCTTCCTCTCTAAAATCAATAAAAATATATCTATAAAAAAAATACAAGCAGAATCAACCTCAAATAGTCTAGCTTTTAAAAGTTCATTTATTGGTTGGCTCGGGGCTCTGGGAGAGCGGCGCAGGTCACACACTGGGCCAGTGACTGGTCTTGGGCCTCCACCCACAGTGGCGGCCCTCAGGAGGAATGGCAGTTGTGGGCAGCATGCTTGGCCTGTTGCAGCAGCATGTGGTGATAGGGGCTGCCCCTGTGGTCCGCTGCCTGCACATATCTTCGCGTTGGGCTGACAGCAGCAGAGCTTCGCTCACTCGTGTGCACAGACAGGCCTATGCACGCCTCTACCCCATGCTCCTGGTCAAGCAGGATGGCTCCACCATTCACATCCGCTACCGGGAGCCCAGACGAATGCTGGCGATGCCTGTGGACCTGGATGCCCTGTCCCCAGAGGAGAGGCGGGCACGGTTCCGCAAACGGGAGGCCCAGCTCCGAGGGAAGGAGGAGCAGCAGCCAGAGCTCCTTGACAACTTTGACCTGGAGCGGTACAAGCAGTTTTGGACCAAGAAATGATCATACCCACAAGCTGCCCTGGCTCAGGATGCTGTAGAAGGGGAGGGCATTCATCTTTAAATTGAGTGTCAGGATTTTAAAACCAAAAAAATAAATAAATAAATAAATAAATAAATAAAATAAAAGTTCATTTATTAACCAGCCATTTAAAACTAAGAATGCTTTTCATCATCGGAAAAAAATGTTTCAAATGGTGATTGAGTTCCTAAACCAACAACACAAATGAGTTAAAAAAAAAAAAACACCTCACTAGGATAATTTTTTTTAAGGGAACAGATTTAGGAAGATTAGTAGAATGTGCTATGGAGGGTGAAAAACAGAATTCTCTGTGCCAGTCCAGAAAACTGGAAAAGTTCAAGGAGAAAGCGCTGTTACCACTATGCTGTGGCATGAACATTAGAATGGAAACTCAGGTTTGAATGAGCAAACCAGAGTCACGGTTTATAGTTTAGTAAGTGCTTGTTTTAGCTGTCACTTGAATGGCTCCAGAGAAAATAATTAAGTTTTAGGCTACAGTGGCTGGGAGTCTGGATTTCTTGGATCCCATGAATTATGCACTATAATGAACTCTGCAAATTAACTGAAACCAGGCTCTGCTATACTAGCAAAGTTGAGCAATGAATGTATTTCTCACTGGCTACTAGTAATAGGCCTGAAATTAAACTAATCAAATATTAAAGGGAGAAACCAGCTGAAGTACAGAAATATACTAAAATTTCCCCCATAAACAAAAGTGTTCTTGTTTTATGGAAGTGCTTCATCAGTAAAGGAAAAATATCCAGAGCAACTTACAAAGCCTTGAAAATTATGTTATGAAATTCCAAAATGGACTGTTCAAATTTCTTGCTGGGTGAGATATGTCTTTCTTAGAAACCACAATCCCTTCCCCAAGCAGAGCTCTAAGAAATTTTAAAGTTTGGATGTAAATGTAAGTTGCAATCTACTAAAAACAGAAAAAAGAAAACAGATATTTGAACTTCAAGGTATAAGGATGAGGTCAGGAAAAAAGATAGCTGTCAATCTTCCCCCACCTTCCATTTGTTCCCCATTCCACTTGCCCCACATAGTTATCCCTACATTCCTTGAACCTGGTTCTGCCCTCCTCTTGTGAAACAATTCAAAACAAAAGTATGGCGGTGAAGATAGCTTCTAAAGAGGAGCTGGCAAGATTCAGTTTCTGGATCTAGGTGCTAAACAGATGTCTTCAGTTTGTGAAAATGCCAACTATACATTATGATTTGTACACATTCCTACATGTTACCTCAGTAGAGAGGGTTTTTAAAAAAAATATTTTTATTGATTTCATAGAGGAAGGGAGAGGGAGAGATAGAAACATCAATGATGAGAGAGAATCATTGATTGGCTGCCTCCTGAATGTCCCACACTGGGGATCAAGCCCATAACCCAGACATGGAACCGTGACTTCCTGGTTCATAGGTCGATGCTCAACCACTGAACCCTGCCAGCCGGGTGACCTCAGTAGTGAGTTTAAAGATTTTTCCAGCCCTAGCCTGCAGACCAAAGGGTCCCGGGTTCGATTCCAGTTAAGGGCATGTACCTTGGTTGCAGGTTCATCCCCAGCCCCAGCCCTGGAGGGGTGCATGCAGGAGGCAACCAATCAATGTGTTTCTCTCACATTGATGTTCCTCTCCGTCTTTCCCTCTCTCTTCCACTCTCCCTAAAAATCAATGGAAAAATATCCTCGGGTGAGGATTAACAACAACAACAACAACAACAAAACAAAAAAAAACATCTGAAAATAAGTTTAAAGAAGATAGTATTCTTTTCATTTCCTCAGAATTTGGGCATAATGACACAATCCCTAAGGTAAAATATTGCCAACCTAACAACCACTGCTTCATTATCAATGAGAAAGAAGGCAGAGGGTAGGTGGGTAGGTGAGAAATTATGACCAAGATTTTGTTGCTGCTGCGGGCAGTGATGCACTCAACTCCAGAGGAAACTTAGGAGACACAGCATCACTGTCCCACCTGACTACAAAAACACTGAAAATATCTGCCATTTGTGATCTCAAAGTATGAAAATTGAAGTTACTTTCCAGCAGAAACCCAGAACTGTTGGTCCAGCTCTGAAAAACCTGACATTTAAAAAAGGGACAGATTTGGTCCCACACATGGGCCTTTGAAAATGTAAACGGAGTTTTTCTTTACATTTTAAAAGTTGTAGTCAAAATCACAATAGTGAATGCTTCCTCTGAAAAGTTCGGAGTAATGTATATATTCGTATATAACATAATGGTGAAATCCCTTTAAACATTCATATTCTGTCGGTGTAATTCCTAAGATTTCATCTGAACTGGTAAACACCTCTCACCTACAGAATACTAGGTATTGAAGAAGTACTCCAAAGAGACCAGAGATAGGTAAAAAAAAAAAAAAAAAAAAGAACAAGAGCAAGAACCCTTAAGGCACCTTGAACTCCATTTATTCTCAATCAACAAGGACATCTGCTTCTGCCTATTACCCAAACACAAAGCCACAGTGCAGCTTTACTCACACATCAGAACCCCATTCTAAGCCTGAACTTCAACTCATCTGCAGATGGAAACGAGAAACACCACCAGAGAATAAAAACAATTTTAACTCTAAGCTGAACAAAGTTGTAGGAAAAGATGATGGTGAAAAAGAATGGAATTTAGGGTGATGAAAACTGTAAATCAACAACCAAAGGCATCCAGCTGTTTGGGAGCAAATAGTGGGGCCTTCTCCCTCTCCAAACTGGAGTGATGAGAGAATTAGCCGATGTCAGCAATCTCCTGCATCCCTTTTAGCTCAGGCCCTGGGACTTGGGCCTGAATGGTGAGCCCAGATGCGAACTGCTCTCAGAACAGGAAATCCCCTCACATTACATTATACAGGGTGGGCTTTTACAGTTGTTTGCACGGAAAATACAATAATTAACAAATAATAATACAAAAATAAACTCTGTGTTTCACATACCCACAACTGTAAGCCTACCTTTTCCTCACCTTGTATATATAAGGGGACGGGGTTCAAGAAGACCAGCCAACAGAAGTTTTCAGTGGGCATTGTTTAAATCCTTCCTCACAAGTGCTGTCAACTGGTTAACATTCCAAGATAGAAGGCCTTACAAAAGCCTGCTGCAACCTCCTCAGCACCGATTCAGTTTCCAGCTGGGAATTACTGGCAAGACACTGTCCAACCAAACCCCAGGCTTGTGCTCGCTCCCAGTGGGTGCCCCACCCACCAAATGCCAAGGGGAAACTACTTGTGGTGGCCCCAACCAAAACACATTTCAGATGTTCCAGCACAACCAGTCATAAAAAGCCTTCAGCTGAGAGAATAGAGCTAATAAAAAAGGAAGAAACACCTGGTGACATGCTGCTTAGCCACTCTCTCCACTACATCAAGAATGGAGATGCTGCCGAAACCGGTTTGGCTCAGTGGATAGCGTCAGCCTGCGGACTGAAAGGTCCCAGGTTCGATTCCGGTCAAGGGCATGTACCTTGGTTGCGGGCACATCCCTAGTAGGAGATGTGCAGGAGGCAGCTGATCGATGTTTCTCTCTCATCGATGTTTCTAACTCTCTCTCCCTTCCTCTCTGTAAAAAATCAATAAAATATATTTAAAAAAAAAAAAAAGAATGGAGATGCTGCTCCACAAAGCTAGTACTGGGCGGCTCCCCTGCCGTCTCGTGCTCTGCGCACATACACTCACTCCAAGAACAAAACTGAGACTGCTCAGCTACTGACCATAATCTAAAAGAACAGACACCAAATAAACTGGCCAGGGCTAATTTGAGCTCCCTGGATGAGAGCAGGACTCAGGACAGAAATCACAGAGCAGCCTGTGGGCCTACAAGGAAACATTCAATAAATATTTGTTGATTGATTTTTTTAAAAGATGATTAAAGGGTTATAGGGCGAAAGGCCACGGTACAAAGTTCAAAAGTAAAGCATCAGTCATCTAGAAATGGGAGTCTGTGAAGGGCCATTTGATAATGGTCTGGCCACTACAGAGAGGGCTGTACACCAACTGGCTTCTTTGCTGTGTCTGCAACTGAATGGACTGGGAAAGACTGACAGGAGACTGGGAATTCTCCTGCATATCACCTCTCTGGGAGGTCACCAAAAAGTGCAGGTTAATGGACACAAGTTATAGTGAGGAATCAGAAACCTCGTCCACTCTCTACTACCAACTCCAGGAAAAGGAAAGAGGAAGTGGGTAGAAAGGGACCAGACAGCTCAAATTGGGAGCAGGAAAGCAGAGATGCAGGCCAGAGGATCCCTCCGGGTTACTGGAGCTGATTATCTGTCCTGAGCTTATTCTAGGAAAGCTTACAAGCAATTGGCATTTATTACCTCTTTTAATTACTCCATAGCAACCCAATCAGGAAGATACTATGATCCTCTCAGCTTAAGAAACAGAGAACATAAGCAACTCATTCAAAGTCACACAGCTTAAACAAATGGCAGAGTTGAGATTTGAATCCAGTGCTCTAAACCATAACTTATGCACTGGGTTTATACTGGGATCAAGGTTACCTATTACTAAACCTACAGCTAGGGTGCACCCCAGGTGAACTAAAAAGACACCTAATACCAACAATAAAAAGTAACCCCTGCACCTGAAATACCATTATTCAAAACCTATTGAAAGCTTCTATTCCCTTCAACTACTGCCCTGTTCAACTAACTTACCTTGTTGCTGTTTTTTAATCCTCATCTGAGGATATGTTTATCGATTTTACAGAGAGAGGAAGGGAGAAATAACAAACAGTTGCCTCCCATATGTGCCAGGACTGGGGATGGGACCAGAAACCTAGGTATGTGCCCTGACCAGGAATCAAACTCGAAACCTTTTGGTACCCGAGATGACACTCCAACCAAATGAGTCACCGAGCCAGGGCAACTTACCTTGTTTAATGGCAATTGGGTTTGGTGTTTTCCTTAGGGGGAGGATGTTGAAGACAGTATTAAAAACATTACCAAATAATTTTAATCCCAACCATTTAAATCAGTGGTTCTCAACCTTGGCTGCACATTAGAATCACCTGGGAATCTTTTTAAAATCATGATTTCTGGGTCTCATCCTCCGGAAA